GACATGTGTTTACCTTGAAATTATTACGCCCTCCAAAAAATCATACCTTTGGGCCTCTGTAGCACAACCCAGATACTTCAATATTGCTTTCACACACCACAAATAATACGCTTTTAAAACTTTTTATTCAGTGGCAGTTTTGAGATACAACCTCCATCCATTCACACAGCTAGACAGACTGAAAGGCTGGAAGACCAACAAAACAAAATTACAAAAGCACTGCAACAACTAATCACGCATAAGCAACTGGTGGAACCAGATATAAGACTGAAACTAGTAACAAAACATTTATCAGAGCCTCTCATATTCAAGCCAGTGTATCCTCCGGTCTTCTTAACTTGGCTTTTTGGCCCTCCAATGACTTTGGTTTTATTCTTATGTTCCCCTGTGTAAATATAGTAACATTCATGCCCTGTTTTTGCTAAAAGTTGATGCTGAGATGTAGAAAACACAGTTTTCATGTGGACAACAATTTTGATTTGAAATGTGTCACACTAGGGCTCATTTATGTTTTTTAAGTAACATCAGAGCCACACTGGAAGTGCTGTAGAGGTTTTGTATGTGATTTAATGTGACCAACAAATCCTGTTCTGTCAAGCAGAAGAAAATTCCCTTCTGCAAATCCATGTTAAAATCACCTCCACATCACTTGTAAACACTGAACTAGCAACCTACTTGTCTATTTTATTGCTTCCACCTTACACATTACACTTTCACTTTAATATTAAAAAATCAGCAACCAGGTGCTTATGCAACATCCAAAAAAAAAAAAAAAAGGAAAAAAAAAATCAGTCTTCACCACCACCTAATCAGGACATAGGGCTGTTTCAGGCACATGTAATGGGATACAGAACCTTCCAGTTGAGTTCCTAGCCTGAGTTCAAGCCAGAGTAATCACTAATAAATACTCTTGCCATACAAGAACCCAAGGCCCACACTGGTCTCTTGCCAATGTGAAACAGGGATCTGAACATAGACTATTTCTTCACAGCTGTCTCATGCCACAGAATTCATCATCACAAGGAAGGCCATGTTGGCAGCCCAGGGGTCGAAGTTGGCTGTCAAGACAATTTTATCTGAGAATACTGGAATTGGAAAACTGACTGCTGCTGTGTATTTGCAGTGGGAATGCAGAGACAGAACAGGCCTGCTAGGGTTTATGATGTCAGCTCTAGCACTGTGCACACAAATCTGTGATGATCTGGTCCACAAACACCTGGCAGAAAATAAGTGTCCCCAAGCACATCAAAGTTATCCAACAATGCAGTCAGCATGCAAGTGAGCTGGCCTAACAGTTGAGCCTGTTAGCCCCTTTTGTCCCAGAGGCTGTCCTGAGCAAAAGGAAAAGCACTGGCACTGCTAAACTGCCAAACTACTGCAAGGCAGCAGCCCCTTTGGTGAGCGTCCAGGCACAGCACTATACAGCATGAGGGATCTCACACGCTGAAATGGCAACAGCCTAACATATGTTCCATTTAGTATGTTTAATTGACAACCTGAAATAAAAGTCAGCTGTGGGAGTAAAGACAGATAAGGGTGAGGGGAAACCAGCTCCTAGACAAGACTTTGTGAATTACAAAGTCTTAATTATATTAAATTCATTATGGTACCATATGCACATCCCTAATATGGCAGAGAAGGAGGAAATGGGACTAGATGCTAAAACTGGAAGTTGAAGGGCTACATTCTAGACTTGATCTCTTAGAAAGCTGCTGAACCACTTCATCCTAGATTAGCCATCCATAAAACAAAGGCAATAATCCTTTCTTCACAGGGGTGTTGAGAGGTTTAATTAATTAATGTTTGCAAAGTCCATTGAGATTTCTGACTGACATTTGAAGTAATTCAGAGTACTTTTTAAATGTATTTTTTTCTTCTACTGCACCACTCAAATGTTGTCATATTAAGATATCCAAAGGAGAAGAAGGTGGAGAGAAAAAGCATGGAGATAGGTACACAAACTAGTAGGGAAAAAAACCAACCCAGCAAACTCGGCACTTCAAATCCACTGCTGTCCCATCAAAGCTGTCAGAATACTGCCACTTCTACAGATGAAGACTGTGTTTCTCCAAACACCTGCCACCTTTGCCTTGCAGATGTGTTAAACTTAGATATTTTTGCCTGTAGCACCATGCTGGTAAACAACAAGGTAATAAATGGCAGAAATAACAGGCAGTCATGTCAGGTTGATTGGATCACCAGAGGAAGTGAAGGAGAGAAGAGCATAGGAATGAAAGCACCAAAAGAGAACCAGAAAGTGAGAAGAGAGCGCTGGACAGAGAAAGTGGCAAGTTGAGTGTAAGAAGAAGCCAATCATTAATAAGGGACTCCAGGTACGGAGCTATTCTATGAAATGCATTCCCACAGATGCGCAGGTACGCTGGAATACATTATCCAGAGAGACTAGTCTAGCTTGAACAAGGCCACATATGTGTCCCAGTGCCAGAGACAAACTGAATATTGGACACTCTTAAACGCACAAGCGCACACAAGGAGCTGCTTGATACCTGAGCTAGGATTTCTCAGTCTCTACATTGTCCCCCATCTCGGAGCAAAACCTTTGTGTGGCCAGTTTCTGTAGGGGGCGTTTGTGGGTTCTGAGATACAATCAAAACGCAGACAGAGGAAATGCAAATGTCATTCAGCTCCCGTTCATTGTCAGGAAGGACACATGAGGATAAAACACTGTGCATTGCATCCCTCCTTTATTATGTGTCCTACTGCTTTTGTCCTAATTTATCCCATGCATAATTTATCCACATGTGTATTGTTTCCCGATCAGCAACTTTAAAGAATAAGTGAAAATTATAAAATGTTTTATTAAACAAGTTGTCAACAAAATTGCAGATGGTGTCAGACAGCCAGTACCAATTCTGCGTCCTCCACATAGCCTTAGTACTTTAAAAGGCACACCGAGAAAAGCGAACCCAGCACTTGATGTCTATTGTTTCCTCCTCTCACACCCCCCAGGGGCGAGGAGAGGAGAAGGGAGCTAATTATAAATGGCCTCATCCTGTCCTCCCCGAGTTTAGCAGCAGCAGCAGTGGGATCGGGCCCCAATTCATTTCGGCACAAGCAGCCCTTCGGCAGGATCCGCCGCGACTGCTGGGAGCCCCACGGTGCCGCGAAGTGCGAGGCGACGAGGCGAGGTCCCATCCGCCGGCGGGGCGGGGGCCGGGGTCGCCCGGCATGTTCCCGGGGCCGCGGCCGCTCCCGAGAGCTCGCCGCTTCGCACCCGCCGTCGCCAGAGGCCACTGAGCCCGGGCTTCCCTGCCACCGGCAACACACGTCCGCGGCTGCTCCCGGCCCAGGTGCGGAGCCGGGCGGTGCGGCCCCCGGCGTGCGGTGCCCGTGCCAGGGCAGCGCCCGGCGGTCGGGAGGGGCGCGGGAAGAAATCGCCCTCGCCTGCACAAGCGTCAAACCTGCCGTCGAACGAGGGGGCAACGCCGCCTCTTCCGCGCGGTTTTCAGAGTATGTTCCGTCCCTCGCCGCCCACCCATGAGGATACTTCTTTGATTAACCCCCTGGCAACTGCGCTCCTCTCTCCCCGCGGATTCTCGTACCCGAGAGAGCGGGTAAATGAAAGCAAAGGTTTTCTGCCAGGACGGAGCAGGAGATAAACATGTCAGCACCCCTTCCCAGCTCGAGGCTTTCCTTTCCCTCCGGATCGCAGAGAGACAGCCGCAGGAACCCCTGGAAAAACCTTCAAGTGTTTTTCCAACTCCAGCCGGAGAGACTTGAGTTGGGGAAAAAAAAAAAAAAAAAAAAAAAAAAAAAAGAAGAAAAGAAAAATCTCGCAACCCTAATTTCATCTCGGAAAACTCGAAGGTATAAAAACACCCACTCAGCGCAGCCAGAAAGTGCAAACGAAGCGTCACCGCCAGGTACTGTGCTTCCCTGCTTTACTAGCAAGAGCGCTGCCCCCGTTAGCAGGGAAGTCGTTTGAAAAAGGTTAAGACAGCTCCTCTCCCCACATACGCTGCCAAATCCCACTCTCCCTAATGCCTTCGGGGATTAGCGGCGTGCGCTGCAGACCACAAGGAAAATAAAGGACGCGATCCAGAAGACGACAACCGGCTCCCGTGGTCCCCCTCAGAAATCAGCCTTATTTGCAGACCAGGAACCCCGGAATACCTCCGCAGCAGAAGTACCTGCCCCCTTCCTCCCTCCCGCTCTCGAGCCGGGGTCAGACCCCGTTCGCGCAGCCCTCGGCGGCTTGTGCCTGCTCTCAAGATGGAAACACAATCAACTCTCTTCCCCACTTTGAAAAGCGAAAGCCTGTCATATGCAAAACAGATCTCCAGACTTCCTGCCCCAAATCAGCGACCGGCAGTCCCGAGCCATTCATTTCACCCAAGTCTGCTTCCCTCCCTCTCCTCTTCCCTCTCTCTCCCATAGGAACGCCGAGGAGCGCCGGCAGTGCCCCCGCTGCCCCGCTTTTCCGACCGTCCAGCCGTGGAGCGACGGGGGACGCTCCGCTCCCCTTCGCCAAGACATCCTAACTCCCCAAAGATTTGCGGAGGTAACTCCGAGCCGCGGTGGGAGCGCGGAGGCTCCGCGCTCCGAGCGCCCCCCCGGGCCGCTGCTTGCCCCCGCGGAGCGCGGCGGCGCGGGGCGACTCCGGGGGGCAGCGCGGCCAGGACGTGTCAAGTGCGCGCACCCCGCGGGACGCCAGCCCCAGCAGCGCCGCCGGCCCCGCGCTGCGCCCCGGGAGCGCCGGGCGGGCATCCCGCCGCCGCCACCGCCCCCCGCCCCGCCGCCCCCCGCCCTGCGCCCGGGCTCCAATTAACCCGACAATTTTTTCCTCGTTAATTTCGGCGCGAGCCGCGGGGATGTGTTGCACAAAAAACGAGCGAGTCGCTGGGGCAGAAAGGAGGGCGGAAGGAGGGACCCGCCGGGAGGCTGCCGGCACCCGGCTCCGGCTGGCAGCCAGCGCCGGAAAGGCGCCTTTTTTCATATTTAAACCACGCGGAATATGTACATTTTTGATTCCTACTTACGCTTTCAGGGGGTTGTGAATGACAGTCGCCATTTTGCTACAATGTAACAGAATATTGTGTCTCGGAGTTCTAAAGGTTCGCTCAGGGGAAGCGGCCAGCCAATGGCAGCGCGGCATACCGGCCCGCCGGCCAATGGCGCGCCGGGGGCGGGGCCGGGGCGCTGCTGGTTATTAGGGGAGCTGTCAAAGCCCAGAGGTCACTCCCTCTCCCTGGAACTGCTGCCGAGCAGGTCTTAAAGGGGCAGCGCCGCCGCCGGGGCCGCAGCCGCGCCGGGGGGCAGCCAAGGGCTCGGGGCGGCCGGGGGGACACTTCTCCGCCGCTCTCCAGCTCCAGTTCTAACGCTCCGCGCCGCGAGAGGGAAAGCCCGGCTCGCTCCTCGCCCCCTCGCACGGCCGCCGCTGCCCCCCCGTTCCACAGGCAGAGTGCCCCGCCGGGGGAGCGAGCCCGCGCCGCCCGGTCGCTCCGCATGCTGCCCGGCAGCGTCCTCCCCGGGCTGCTTCCCTTGCTCCACAGCCGCGCTCCCTCCCAGGTCTCCGTGAGCCGCCGGCGCTGGCAGCGGCTTCAGAGCAACGCGGCTCCCCCTCCCCCAGGAATTTCCCTCTCCCTGTCAGTCATCCCGGCCCGCAGCCCCTGCGCCCTTACATAACGCGCGGCGGCCGGACCGCCCGCCCGCTCGCCCGGCCCTGCACAGCCCGGCTCGGCTCTCACACAGAGCAACTTCTGGCGCGCCAGGAGCCGGCCCTCCGCTCCCTCCGGCACTGGGAGCCGCGAGGGAAAGAGCCCTGACCCGCGTTCCCCCGGACAGGCGATGAGAGGAGCGGGAGGCTGGACCCCGAGCGCGACTGGGAGCAGGCAGAGTCCATTCCTGGGGAGGCAGCAAACTCCAGGAAGTCTGGGCTTACCTGCAACTAATTAAAGGAGCTTGCGAATGAATTATGGAGCATGACCCGAGTGATTTAAGAGGTGTCAATCCTAATCTCACTCTCAGAAGTAAATCCACTGAAGTTCACGAAATTATGCCAGTGTAAATTAGGCGTCAACAAGAGCAGAGTCAAACCAACAAGTTTCCTCCTTGTCTGATAGTAACGTCAACTTTGTCATCTCATACTTCTCGCCCTCCCTCAAAGGTCTCATCTCCCTTCAGGCATCCTCTATCCCTTTAAAAAACACAACCAACCACCACCAAAACCAAGGCTGCCATTCTTCACATCTGTATTACCAGAAGAAACTCAACTAAAAACAATTAAAACACACTGCTGTAAAAGCAGTAAAAGGGAGGAGACTAGAGAACTAATTTGATTCACAACTTAAAGAATAAAAGAATGAAAGTAATGATGTTTCTGAGATATTAGGGTGCTAACAGAAGCAGAAATAGCAATCTTCCTGAGCTAGAGGGCTGAAATTGAAAAGGTGAAGCAAACAAAATCTCTCTTGTTCAATTGTTTGACAAAATAAAACTGTCCAATAATGAGGCAAAAGAGAAGAGGGACAGAGAACAGAAAGACAGAGAAATTATTATTCACAGTGAGAAAGGGGAGATGAGAGTAATGAGAATGAGGTTTGCATCAAAAGTTTGCAAAAAGTTGAAGTTTAAGGTCTGTCTAGGGTCCCTCTTTCCAAAACACTGCCTACTCCAGCTACTAGGTCAACCTAGGTACTGTGCCAGGCATATATCCCTGGAGGGAATTATCTCTTCCATCAAAGCAATCTAAGCCATTTGGTTACAGGCACTGCTTAGGAGAAATAAGCTTTCTGTCAGCTGGAGAGTTGCCAAGATGCTGAGATCTATCCCAAAACAGTTCTGGGAAGTAATCTTTAAGAACGTTTCCATTATCATATTACATTATATTATTTAATATAGTAGTAGCCCAGGTGACATTGAATGTGACTTCAGACCCTCCTGTTCAGTACTCTCACTGCTCACAGGAAAAGCTAACCACAAACTGCCGAGTTGTCATAAGCACACAGTTGATGTACGTGCTGCAAAGAAACAAACGGCTTAGCAGGCACCTGAACTGGTGACCGTGGACTGGCAACCTATACTGCATCTTGCTATTACGAGGATTTCTGGTTCAACTTTTCCTGTTGCCACGACATTCACTCAACAGCAAACATTTTAGCAAGCATTTACCCTAGGATGGGCAATATTCACTGGTGGGATAACAATGACTTTGCTTCACACGTAAGAAAAAACAGCCTGGAACCGTGGCACACTGCAGAACCAGAGACAGATTTGTGCAACTGAGAAAAGGCCCCAAAATCCAGCCAAGCTCTAGAAAGCCCTGAGATTTTCTAATGAGAACGGGTGACATTTTCAGAGAATTAAGAAAACCTGTTTGAGGTCATTTTTAAGAGTTTAATGAGTCCCTCTGGTCCTGTTTTGTTGGATATATAGGCCCATTCCTGCTCTTCAGGCAAAGAGCTCTTGGTGCAGCTTGGCACGGAGCGTATTGCAAAAATGGGATTAAGCCACATGTGCTTCCCTGGCTGCTACTGTTATTCAGACGTTGGGCCTTTATCAGTACCAGCAAAAGCAATGAACAGTGAGAACAGGCACAGATGACCTTGGACTGCTGATAGCCCTTTTCCCAGGCAGACCCCACGCTCCTGGCCAGGAGAACCAGTCAACAGCACTGCCTCGCTCAGAGGAATCTCCAGGATGCTCAAGGACAGAGCTGCTATATCAGCACAGCGGAAAGTCTCACCCACGGTAATAAAGACATCAGGCTTTGTTCACAAGTCCATATAATTTTCCTACCATGTGTTTCATTTAGAAAAAAAGAGGCACAGAGCACTGAGTGGCATTTCGCTTTTAACAAACTTTATTAATAAAAATTTTATGCCATGCCATAGTTACCTCCATTTTCACATACACACCAGTCCATCAGGAGCAGATCATTTATGAGCTAAATTTTTAGATTAAATTTTCCTCTGATTTTACTGTACTGTAAGTCAGTAATCAATAGTCTTGCTATTGTTTTACACCCTACAGGACCAACACATCTCAAACACACTCAATTACACGTATGCTGAGTTACAACTTCAGGATTTTTACAGTTCTACATAGCTACTGTTAGTTTAATTCAGACTAACCTGAAACATAACAAGGAGGCTGCAAGAAAGTATAATTTAGAAGTAAATAATTTAGAAGTATTTTGCATAAAAAAAGTTAGGTGGGTGTATTTTTAACTAGAGGTTGCCAAATGTTTGGACAGCCAATATATACATTTTGAAAAAGGAAGGTAAGTTTTGACATAAATCTATTGGGGTAAGATCTATAACATTAACACAAGGTATAGGCATACTGCATCTATAATATTGGAGTGAGCAGGGCTTTAGAAGGCAGAGCCCACCACCTCACCTCCAGTCCCTGATACAGAACTGTACCTGATCTCTACCCAAGTAGAACACAGTGTTGTGTCTTCTCAGTGTACTGGTAAGTGTCATGTCTCATAGAACATAACACTGCTCTCCTGATCCACCTCTGTTTCAAACATTTTTACTGTTTACATAATGCAAGCACCTTGACAATTTCTGTGAGGTCTCAACAATATTCCTGTTCACCCTGGAAAGCCTTATTTTGGCTGACAATATTTCACTGTGAAAGAATTTTTACCTGGTATTTATTATCTCCTGCTTTCCTTTTTATTTTATTAGGTTTTAATGTAGAGTTGCTCTTTTCTGGAGGAAGGGAAAGTTAGGTTCTTATTATACATTCCTCAACTCTTGTGAATTGGAAAGTGAAACAAACTAGACACTGACACTGAAAGCCACAAATCTAATTTTGCTATGGAGGGAAACATAAAAGACAAAGCTGAAAAAAAAAAAAGAAGTGGCTTCTGGTAGATTAACAACAGTTTAATGTTCTCAGATATTTCCAGCAATATACAATTTTATTTTCTTTATATATATTAATATGCAAAGTACCAGATTCATATAGCTTTAAATATGAGAGTGCAGTAATGTAGTTTGTTACAGCAAAACAGGGCCCCACATGCACAGGTATCCTGCAAGAAATTTGAAGTCTTAACCCCTTTTTATTTATTAAAGCTGTGCAGGCATCTCTCATACACTGTTTCTTGTCAGCCCTCCTCCTCACTTTCTTTGATCTTTATCAATAGTTGCTTAGCTGAAAGAGGAGGAAAAGATATCAGTGTCAATGTTACAGACTCAACACCAGCCGTCTACAGACACATCACCAAAAAATTTACATAGTCAGCATAACAAAGATAACTATGGAGCTACACAGAGTAAAAATTGGCGCCAACAAATCATTCTTCACAACAATGGGAACTGCATTCTTGGAAGGGACTTCAAATTTTTATTTTTTTTTCTAAGCAAAATTTCCCCTGTATAGCTATAGCAACAATTCTTGGATGCCTTTAGTCTAGCTTGATTTCAGGCCTGATTCTGAGTTCCCAAAGTACACCTGGATTGCTTCTATGCTGAGGTCTGGACTCAAGCCCCTTTATTTTTTTAGCGGGATGTTTTGATAAAATAAATACATTTAAACACTAAAGAAGAGTCTCTACTATTAAGAAATACATTGAGGCCTCAATCTGAAGCTTTCAAAAGTTTGGGGAGACAGAAGTTTTTTAAGGTTCCAGAGTCTGGCTCAAATCTGTCCCCAATTTAACAAACTGCTAAAAGTCTATTTAGTGTGGCTTCCAGAAGATTCTTTGCCATGCATTGTTCTTAAATTTCCCCAACAACAGAAATAAATGTTATAAACAAGCTACTTCAAAAGGGGAATACAACTTTGTTGTAGACACTGCAATACCATAGTAATAGTAGGGAAAGGAATCTAATAAAACAGACATATGCTCTGAAGAGCACACATTCAATAACTATGGTTGTCCTCTCCATGAGGGGAGTCATTGGTAAAATTTAGAAGGGACAAAACTGAGTTCACATCACAAAGCTCATGATTTACACATCCAGAGTCACAGGTCTGTCTGTCTTATTTCTTAAGTGAGTAATTAGCTGGGGGGGAAAAAAAATTAAAGGAAAAAAGAATAAAGAAAAATAAAATAATAAACAAAAATAAAGGAATAAAGAAAAATAAAAGAATAAAGAAAAAGAAAACTCCTTTGGAGTCCTTTTCACTCTTTCCTGCATTAAAT